CATAAGATTTAATTTTGAGCCAATTTTATATAAAATGTACAACTATTTAACATTTAATATATTTTAAATCTGGTTTATATAGTTAAGTTCTTCTAAATTATTTAATTGTTGAACTAAAATTATGTTTAAATTGTTAGTAATTTGATCTAAATGTTTAAATGAGATGAAAACTGAGTATTTTATTAGTTAAGTTAAAAGTTTATAAATATGATATTTAACTATTTTGAACTTAATATCTAAGAATCATTTGTTTTTCTTAAACGTTTTTTATACTATCTCTCTTAAGATTTCAAATTAATTGTTCACAATTTTGACTACTAATTTGTCTTAAGGATGTCACTAGAGAGGAAAAGGTAATCCATCAAATATATTTTTCTTTAGATAAGGTTTTTACCTTTTTTATTTTTTATTTTTGGATTGGTTGTTAGTTGGATTTGTTTGCATGTTTATGTATAAGTATTTGTGTTTAACAACAATATATAAATATATGATAGTTTATGGTTGTAGTAAAATATTCAGTTTGATTAGAGAGTTTTGTTCGAGAAGTTAAATTTTTTAGGTAAAAGATGTTATTTTGGATACTTAGTTGATAAATATAAAATAAGGTATATTTTTGTAAAAGGTTTTAATAAACTAATGCCATGTTATATTTTTGGATGTACGTTTACAATAAAATTTGAAATATTGTTATAATGTGTAAGTTTAGTATTTTTTTAGATGCATATTGGATTTGAAGTTATTGCTTTATAGGTTGAATAATGATTTTTATTTATTTGTCTAATATTTTTTTCACTTTATTTTTTAGTCTTAAAAGTAAAGTAAAATTGATTTTGTGTCTAAAAGAAATAACTTTACCAAGTGAAGTTGTAATGTGTTCTAGGTAAGGAAAATGTATAAAAGTGTTAATGTGATGGTGTAAGAGATTTTATGGAAGTTATTAACTAAAAATACTGTTTTAGTCACTAGAGTGAATGTGTTTTGTTTGATATTCTTGCAAAACAAAAACATAGGTGTTTAAGCAGATATACAATTTAATCCAAGTCTCTTCAACTAATGTTTCATCATATATCTGCACTCAATGAAAATAGACACACCTAAACTCTAGTGAAACTATTTTTATCAAATAGAAGTATCTTTTATGTTTATGTTCAAGTATTTCTTGTGTAGTTTATTCAAACATACATGTTATGTGTATGTATACTTATTGGAAGAAATTATTGAATCATATATTTAAAGAATTTATTGCTTTAATTAAGGGAATTGCAAAGTATGCATACACTTGTAAATGTAATTGACATGTTTATGTTACAAATATGTGATACATGGATAAATTTATGTCTGAAGAATAGATTTATATTGAAATAAAGATTCTTTATTTTCATTGATGATTTAAGTTACCTGAAATATGATATTAAATATTAAGAAGCAGAAGAAAAATTTATTATATTATCAAAATATATGTTGAGGTTCGAAAAGTAGAACAGATGTTGACTTATATACCTTAAACTTATCTTGAACTATATGTAGTTGAGATTTTCAGGTTAAAATAAGTCAAGTGTTGAATCTCTAATGAAGAATGTTTAATAAATATTCTAAAAGCATCAGTGGATATTTTTTCTTAAATATCCTTAGTATGAGGATCTACATGTGATTTATAGTTATGTGTGTATGAATGTGACGAAAAGAGATGATAGACTGTGTAAAGTTATAAATTTCATTGTTAGAACAACTAAACTTAAAATTCATAGGTTTTTCATAATTATTTTTTATTATTCATCTTCACGTTTGTGGTGTATGTAACGATTTAATTTTAAATATGCTATATATGGTTATACTTAAGTGCATATCCTTATTTGAAAAGGATTAGAAACCTAAGTTAAATCAATTAGTAATATTACATATAAATATGTGTATGCTAAATTATTTTTTCTATGATTAAATTTTGTTTTGTACTTTCACTAATAAAATCTAGATTTTTTATAGTCGTGTGATGTTACATATTTAAATATTGATGGATAGAGAAGAAATAAAATCATTTTATACTAATTTTAATAGATTTTCTTCTTCTTTTAATTTAGAAATTAAATAGTTTTTTATTTATTTGCTTTGTTATTATACAAATGATAAATGTTACATTTTAAATGATTATGTAACTACCGGGGTATATATATATATATATATATATATATATATATATCATAATTTCATTATAATTATAAGTAGTCAGGTTAAATTTTAATGATATTATGTAATTTAAATTCTTTTTCATATTAAAAGTAAAATTATAGTATCGATATTGTATAGATGTAAATTGTAAAACCATATTTAATTATTTTCCAGTTAAAAAACTGTTTTATCCGTATGAGCTAAAATTATAACAACATTATTGTATTTTTTGCATTGATTTAAATAATTTAGTTCATTAAACTGAACGTTATCTGTAGTTGCCTCACAATTTTATCTTTAAAAGGATGATAGATTCAAAAAAATAAAATAGAAAACATCAATTTGACTATCTTATAAATGTAAATTATCTGTACTCTCATCCAAGTTTAGGTTAACTATTTACATTACTTGAAATAATTTATTACTCAATATTTTTGCTTTTCAACCTTTCTTATAAGAAACAATATAACAAAATGAAATAATTTTCCTTACATTTTTATTTTTAATTTGTTTATAAGTTAATTTTAACTTCAGGAAAATTTTATTTTCTATTTTTTTCATTTTAAAAACCCTCATAAAATATCTGTTCAAACAAATTTTAAATGAGTTTTTCCTAGGTAAACTTATTTTTTTTTTAAATTTAAATTTATTTGAAAAATTAATAATTAGATTTTATCATGAGAAAAAGATAAGATAATGATATTGGACACTTTAATGTAGTTAAGAGACAGATGGAGATGACAATAAATGCGAGGTAAGCTGTCATTGTTTACATAAGATATAATTTTAGAATATTAAGATCAAAATAACACGGAATTGTTTTGGAATTAGACATTGGTTTCCATAACACGCTTAATAAAATATATATATATATACCGAGATCAATTTATATCATTGAAATAAAACTTAAATTTCAATTGAAATAATATTAAATATATGTATAAAACTACATGTAACTTCCTTCTGTCAACTTTTTAATTAGTTGAGATCTCTTAATTGCTATAGAGAAATTAATCCAAACCTTACAAATACCAAATTAAAATAGTATAATTAAAAGAGGCTTCATATGTACTATAATTTTAAAGTTTCAATCACATTATTTGGATTATTCACTCTTTATTTTATCATTATTTTCTGTCAAGTTAACTCTGACTGAGATGTTTTCTGGTGCTTATGTGAAAAAGAAATGTTTAATAGTAGCTTAGCGTTAATTACAAGCATTAGTATCCAAGCAAAGGTGTAAACAAGCTTAATCACACAGATTAATAATGATTTATATAACAAAACAAATGAAGTTTAGTTGATTTTTCTGTAGTTTATGTATGACTTTTTCTTTAGCCTTTTGGAAAGAGACTTTTTTTTATCATCAAGATTCAAATATAATTAATTAATAATTTTTTTATGATAATAAAGAAACAGTAATAGTAACATCTAAAACCATCAACAATGTTTTAAAAATTATTAAGTATTTTTTTGTTCATCTAATATTAATGAAACATACATTTCATACCTGCATAATAAAAAAGAAGGAAAATCATAATCAAGAGTTTGAAAATTTGACCTTTGGAGCCATTGAAATTTGCAGTATAAAGCATTGAGTGAGACATTTTCAGAGTCCAAAAACTGATTTGATGCATCATTGTTCATGGTTCATTGAATTTGGATTGAAAATCTAAACTTTGATTTTATGATGGATTTGTAGGAAGATCATAATATTAGGAGACATTCTTGCACTCTAAGCTACACTTCGTAATGTGTATTATTTTCTAAAGAATAAATAAAAAAATAACATTTATAACTTTATCAGAAGAGAAGTAAAATGTTCGTGACTATACTAGTTGAAAATTCAATAGATAGGTGGTAGTTTTCTCATAAACTATTTATTAAATTTTAGGGTTAAATATGTTTTTTTGTTCTTTAAGTATCACACGACTTTGATTTTAATTCCTACTCCAAATTTGATGATTTTTAGTTCTCATAGTTTTGAAATTCTTACTATTAATCCTTAAAATTGGATGACGTTAACTTGCTAATGACCAGCCCACGTATCATGCCACCTAACTACTTTTAATTGACGTGGCAGTAAAGGTTGTGATGGTCGGCCGACGTGGTAGGTGGTCGACCACTCGGTCTGGTGGTCTTTGCCCATAACCGTTTGGTCTTTGACCAACACCTCTGGTCTTTGCGGAACACGGTCGTTGTGGAACATCGTTCAGTCTTTGACCAATACCGTTTGGTCTTTGCGGAATATCGTTCGGTCTTTCATATATTGTACTCCACACGTTACCATAACCGTTCGGTCTTTACCCAACACCGTTCGGTCTTTGACCAATATCCACCAGGCCGACCGACCACCAGACATTATGGCCGACCAACCACCTATCAGACTGACCGACCACCACACCTTTACTGCCACATTAATTAAAAGTAGTCAAGAAAGGTGACATCATATTACATCTACTAAAAGTTAACTTCCTCCAATTTTAAGGAGTTTCAAAACTATAAAAAATAAAAATCATCAAAGTTGAATAAGGAATAAAACCAAAATAATGAGATACTAAATGAGGAAAAATATATTTAACCCTAAATTTTATAATCAAATAAAACTATATTTTCAATTGAAAAATTTTAACATATTTTTAAAAGAACTATTATAAACATTAAATAAATTTATTATAGATAATTATTTGGGATTCTGGGAATAATAAAAAGAAGAAAGAGGAAGACTGAGAGAGCGGAAGGGGCGGACGTGGGACCCGCATGCATGAGTATGACCCACTCTTCTCTTCTATTCTTATCTCTATAGTCTCTCACTTCGCTCCTACTGCCACGTGTCTTTTCTCACCCTCCTTTACTCCTGCTTCACTTCCTCACGCCTTTTTTCTCTTCTCTTTTCTCTTCTCTAATTCTATCTCTCTCAATAAAATCCTTCTCAGTAGCCATTCTGTTACACACTCCATCTTCTCTCTGTTTTTCGTTTCAAAGGTCTCTCATCAAACCTAACGCAACACTATCACTTTTTTTTTTCTTCTGTTTTTTGTTGTATTCTGTGCTTCCAATAATGCTCAAAAATCCATAAACTTTAAGATCACTTTATCTTTTCCTGGAAGAGAGGTTCTGTCTCTGCTTCTGTACACTAACACAATTTAAATAATAATAATAATACCTGAGGAATCATGTTGATCCTGAAGCAGTTTTTTCTTCAATGTTTTTTTTCCTCTTCCTGGTGGTCACAGTAGTAGTACCAATAAATTAGTTTCAGAAGCCGTAGAAGTTACAGTTAGTGTTTTGTGGGTCTGATATTATTCTGTTTGGTCGAAATTAATTGTGGTTGGTTGCGTGATCAAGGATCAATAATCAATATGAGTAATTCTACAATGACTTTTTCTCCCGAAACATTAACTGTGGTTAGTTTGACAGGGTTTGTTTTATTTATTTTATGTGTTTGTTCATCCATTTCAGTCCAACAACACCAGAAAATCGATGAAGTGGGATGAGAGCTTGACTTTCTGTGGCATATTTTATATGGGTATGTGATCGCAGGGTATCTATCGGCAATTGAGTGATGGGGGGTATCTGCTCTAGGAAGAGAGATCAGCACGTGGTGGAAGATGATTTACATAGAGGAATTTCGGGAAGGTATTGTAGAAGTGGCAGCATAAAATGGTCGAGGTCCAGGAGTTTACGTTCCAAGTCCAATCAATGTCAATGTCCTGGAGGGGGAACCTGTCCCTCTCTCATGGATTTGTGCATAAATAGGATACGGGAGGTGCATGTTTTTTGTTTGTTTTGATTTTGTTATTTTTATCTTACATGGTCACTTGATTCACATGTTTTGAGTTATGATAGGATTTTCACAAATACGAATCCTTTTCTATTCTTCCAAGAGACATTAGCCAGCAGATCTTCAATGAATTGGTTGATTCTCACTGCCTGACAGAAGCTTCTCTCGAAGCTTTCCGAGATTGTGCTCTTCAGGTACTGTTTTAGATGCTTGGTGAAATTGGAAGCGTTGCCTTGATCCCACTTTTCTGCTTACAAATTTTTGTTACAAAGATGACCGTATTTATTGTTCTGCATGGCAGGATATTGACCTGGGTGAATATAGTGGAGTGGATGATAATTGGATGGATGTCATCTCTTCCCAAGGGTTGTCTTTACTTTCAGTTGATGTTTCTGGGTCTCAGGTGACAGATAATGGACTACGACTCCTAAAGGATTGCTCAAACCTTCAAGCATTGACTCTCAATTACTGTGATCAATTTTCAGAATATGGGCTCAAGCACATAAGTGGTAGAGTTACTATTCTTATGATCAGTTTTTCAGACCAGAACACGTATAGTTTTTTTTTTTAACATAGAAATCATTCAAATTAGTTAAAGTAAATTTTCTGTCTTTGCTTGTGGTATACCTGCATAATTATTCTTAGATTAATTATTGTTATTTTTCCTTATAATGGCTGTAGAAGAAATATAAATAATGAAAAGAAATCCTGATTGAACATTATGTAAAATTGGAATTGCGCGCTATGATTGGAATAACATTAATTGTTCTGAATCTTTTGGTAACAAATGGATTAGTTAAAGTGTTCTTTCTGATTAATATAAACAATTAAGAATGCCATTTGTTTCTGTAGGTCTTTCAAACTTGGATTCCTTGAGTATCAGGAAGAGCAGCAGTGTCAAGCCTGATGGAATGCGTGCTTTCTCCAACTTATTTAATTTGGAGAAGTTGGACCTTGAGAGGTGTTCAGAAATTCATGGTGGATTTGTTCATCTTAAAGGTTGCTGCTATCCTTCATTTTTGCCTCATTTATATGCAAGAAGTTAACTTATTTCTAATGTAATTGATATTTTATATCCAATCTCACATGAATTTAAAGTTAAGGTGATGATGGATTTTTATCATTATTGGTTAATGGGGGTGGTTGCTGTTGTCTTGCCTGTGCTTATTGGTGATGATAAGTTCTACTTCATTTAATCGTTTTATGCGCGGGGGGCAGGGGGAATAGAGGACCATCAACTGGAATTGATCCCTGGACCTTTGAGTCAAGGATATTTGAACCTACCAGTCAATCCAACCCTCATTAGCTTCTTTAAGGGGCTCATTATTCAGATATTAGCAAATGTTATCCTACTTAGGATTCCCTTTTATGCATCATGATTATGAAATTACTAAGTTATAGATTTAATTTGTGTTTCTATAATACAGGTTTGAAAAGGCTTGAGTTCCTCAATATTGGATGCTGTAAATGTGTTACGGATTCAGACATGAAGTCTATCTCAGGTACTGATCATAAGGTGATATGGTTTTTATTATAGTTATTGCAATTCAGGTTTATTTATGTTGTACAAAGGCAGTATTACGGTGTCTCGGTCATTTGTTATAGCTTTTTCTTAGCATTGTAATCTAAATCTTGCATTTATTCTCACTCCTAGTTAGCAAATAACCAAAAACTTGGTGGGGGGAACATTGCTCTCCAAATTTGACTTTCTATATTTTTTCTTTTGTGCTTTTTTTCTCTGCGCGCTCCACTCACTCTATTAATAACCCCTCTTAAAGCTATCATGAACACCAAAGAGTATCTTACACAAAAACCTATCTATTATGTGTCTGCCTGCTCAGGTGATTAAGAAATGCACAGATAAATATGGTATTTTTCTTCAGCGAATCCACCAGACAAACTTTTAAATTGCACATGGCAATATTTCTCCTGAAATCTTTGTTTTAAACTTCTAGAAACTTTAACTCTGACGGGTTGGTTGAATGGGACAGCACAAGGTTTACAATTTGACTAGTTCCTGGTTTAAGCACCCACTTGTCTCCTTGGGTTGAGGTACTTGTAAATATTTACGAGTTAGAGGAAGATTGCCTGTCTTGGATTGGGGTGAAATTTCTTATAAAAAGAATTTCTAGAACTTTTCTTTTGTCTTTTGTTAGTGGGGATGCATGTGAAACTATCTACTGAAAAATCCTATCCTTCACCAATGCATAACTTTCGAATAGGGATGGCAATTGCACCCAAACTCAACAGTTACGTGCAAAATATACCCGTGAGTTTATACTGAAACATGTGGTTTTGCAACTTAAATCAATTACTGCATTTACCATCAGTTCTTTTTACTTCTAGAATCAGGAAGCTAGGCCTTGGTATTTTTGAACTGACTGTTGGCATATAATGTTTCAGAGCTTATAAATTTGAAGGAGTTACACATTTCCAACAGCAGTATTACTGATATTGGGATTTCCTATTTAAGAGGTATATTTCCAGTGTTTTTCCTCAATTACAAGTGTCTTAAGACACTATAACTGTTGCTGCTATTCGCACATGAGCGCAGCTGTAGTTGTCAATATCCATTCTCAAAAGAAAATATCATATCATTACGATCATCAATGTAGAGTTTTAGTATGTTGAATAAGTTCATGACTTTGTTTGCTCCAGGTTATTCTGTTTTCCACATTATACATTCCTGGGTATTTCTTTCTACTTACAGGTTTGGAGAAGCTTACCACATTAAATGTTGAAGGATGCAATATTACTGGTGCGTGCTTGGAGTCTATTCATGGTAAAAATCGAATCTCAATTTATTCATTGAAGTGATATTTCATTTTATTTTTCAAGTTTAGACAGCTGTTTTGTTTTGTTGAAGTTACTCTGCAATTGTGAGCTTCCTGTCATTTTTATTTGGAAAATTAAGGATTTCACTAGTCCAGCACACAATCAACTGCTGTTAAAGGCAAAGACTATGTTTGAACTTGGAAACTAATTTTCTTAGTATTCCAATGGTTACATTCGCCTAGTTAGATCTTTAACACAATATTTTTTTGATACAGCCTTGGCTTCCTTGGCATGCTTAAATCTCAGCAGATGTGGTCTCTCCAATGATGGATTTGAGAAAATTGCTGGTAATTTTGATATAAAATGACCCAGTTTGAGGACTTAGTGTGTCATGTTCTTACTTCTTGCTCTAAGGATGGCAAATCATTGGATTCTTGGTTTTACTGCATGTCCCTTTCCTGCAGGTCTTAAAAGCTTGAAGAGGTTAAGCTTGGCTTTTAACAGGATCACCGATGCATCTTTAGTTCATCTAAAAGGTACTTAAAACATCAATATCTCATAAGAGTGACTATTTAATCCACATGCTGCTTCTCTAAATCAATAAAAACTCGTTTTTTTTAGTGTTTTTACACTATTTCTGCAGACTTTTTCCCTTTGCGTTTTAATTCCTTTTACTTTCAGTAGTTTTACATGAACACTTGATGTGATCTTCATGTTTTTCTATCTGCAAATTGTCCTGACTGTTACAAACCGAAAGGAGAGGTGAGAAACTTTTTCTACATTATGAATTTTCCTGAAGAGTTCTTCAAACTCTGATGATGTCTAATGAACTAATTCAATTTTTGAAGTGAACGTATTGTAAATGAAGGAAGTATGAAAGTCTAATCTTAGCTTCAAATATCACTTTTCATTATTCATAGAAAATTATTGTCGCTATTAATGCGTGGTACATGAGTTATTATTGTGATTAGTATCTGTACAAGATCCGTTTTTTATGATATCTTATCCTTCTGTCTTGTAATTTCTAATAAAAGTCATATAAATGGGCACATGAAGCTGAAAAATTGGAAAGCACCTGGAAATTATTAGGTGCATAATAAATTGGCCATTTGGTCTCTAAAGCCTCTACCAACTCTTAACATTTTTAAGTGCCCGTGAGATTTCAACAACTAGTTTTTATATTCCTAATTATTGCTACTAGGATGTTGAATATCATCAATCATCGTTAATTTTACAGGTTTAACAAATTTGGAGTATTTGAATCTGGATTCTTGCAGGATAGGCGATGATGGGCTTGCTAATTTGACAGGTTTGCACTATATTAAGTATTTAACCATTTTCCTTTAGTTAGATTTAAATGGTAATTGCATTGTTCAAAGTTTGAATAGATTTGTCACACTAGTTCGAAACACTAGCTCAAAGTTTTCTTGATCTGTGTCTGGCGATTTGACAAGAGGCATTGAGGCTTTATACCTTTATGCCATTTTCAGCTGAATGATTGAATGGCATAATTTGATTATTCAAACCCACCTATCTTATTAGACAATAAATATTGAGATGGTAAGATCCATGTGAAACTTTGCATATTCCAACTTGAATATCTGAATTGCACTTATAAAATTGTCGTGGGGATTTAAGCTAGCATTTAGCCTTAACATTGTGTTTAAAATGTATATATATACGTGCTTGGTCTGATCACTGGTGGTTTTAATTCAGTTTTGCTTATATTTTTTATTTTAATTTCCTTAATTTGTTCTATCAAAATGCTTTTTGAAGGGGAAAAGTTTTGGTTATGAAAATGAGATTAGGAATTAATAATTTCATTTGAAGTATCACCTATGGTTTAAAATTATTAGTTATTTGTTCTTTCAGGCCTCACACTCTTGAAAAGTCTGGTGCTGTCGGACACTGACATTGGGAATAGCGGACTGCGGTATATATCAGGTTGGTTGATACAGTCCTATATATATATATATATATTTGAGATTTTTGGCAGACCAAATTCAAATTAAACTATTGATATGTCACTATATTCTTGGTTATGGCTCGTTGATAGGTATCCAGAATTTACTAGAGAATTCCAAGACAGATTCTTGGATGTCTTATTAAAAACAAAACAGAACAGTTCTACCAATGTGGTAAGAACAAGAACAATCACGTACAACACTCAAGAGAGAACCTGTCTCTCCTAACTTTTCCCCTTTTCAAAACAGTCCAAAAACTCCCTGCTCACCTCCTAATAAGACTATTTATATTAGTCTGTTACAGTTATGTGATTACAATTGTACTAACTAACTTCTTTTGTAAACTGTATCAAACCTATCAATACCCCTCCATGAAGATTCACCTTGTCCTCAAGGTGAAATTCTGGAAATTCTTCATGAATGCAGGCAGCAGATTCCCAACTACTCTCAATATCTGAAAGATGTTTCCATTTGATAAGAACTAAGTCACCTTGAGTGGTCTTTCCTGGATATACTTCTAGAATATAGTCTTCAGTAAGTGGAGGAGGCATGGGCTGGGTAGATGTGCCCTCCCTGGTGACTAGTGATGCTACTTGTTATGTCTGGGTCTCCCCTTTCCCTCTGTTATGATTACTTGCGACAACAGAATTTCCCACATCTCTGGAGAAACTTCTAGTTATTGAATATGGCCTATACACATTATTGCTCCTGTTTTGATTCAGTGTTCCCCCTTTTGCTGTAACTCTAATTTTTCCCTCAACCATCTGAGGCTTCATCAATTCAGCAAGATTAGTGGGTTCATATAATTTAACCTTGGCCTTGATATCCTCCTTCAACCCATTCAAGAAGATGCCTACCAGATAATCCTCTTGAATCCCCTTCAGGAACCCAACATATTGTTCAAATTGCTCAATATAATCTTCCACTAAACCTCTAAACCTGTTTGTCGCAAGCCAATCAGAATTTCAAAGGGGTTTTGAAGCATAGTTGATTGAAACCTGCGGGCAACAGCCACCTTGAATGCCTCCCACGTAGGATTTGGATTGCAGGTTTCCCACCACTGAAACCAATTCAAGCTTTTCCCTTCCAAAGCAACTATGACAGCCTGCATTCTTTCCTCCTCCCTGACTTCTTTCAATAGAAAATATCTTTCTAGTCTGTCAGTTCAACCATAGGCCTCCTCTCCTGCAAAGACAGGGATGTCCAGATTTCTGCATTTTGAGGAAGACACTACCGAACTTTTCTCCTCATTCTCTATGCCGCCCTCATTGCTTCCATTTGTGACCGAATCATCAGTCTGTTTTGTTGTTGGAACCGCATATGATACTCGTTCTTGTACCATCTTTTCAAACCCATCCAATCTTGATTCCATTCTTGTATTCACCATGCCCCACACAGCTACCACAGGACCAGGAAAGAGGCTTTGATAGGTATTCAGAATTTACTAGAGAATTCCAAGACAAATTCTTGGATGTCTTATTAGTAACAGAACAGAACAATCACGTACAACACTAAGGTCTTTCGAGAGGATATGTCTCTCCTAACTTTTCCACTTTTCAAAACACTCCAAAAACTCCCTGGTCACCTCCTAATAAGACTATTTATAATAGTCTGTTACAGTTATTTAATTACAACTGTACTAACTACCTTCTTTTGTAAACTATATCAAACCTATCACTCATGGTTAGAAAATATTGACTTTACTAATGCTATGTCTATGAGGTATTCTAAATATCATAACCCCTTATTTAGTTTGTACATTTCAGATTTTAGTAAGGAAATTGAAATTATTTGCTTTAACGTATTATTGCATTAAATCTGAGACTGTCTTGGAATGTGAACATATACTGTTGTATTATCCTTTGGAAGATAAATTTTAGAAATCCCTTGAGTTACCCAAATATGAGTGGTTTTTTTTTTTTAAATTTAAATTGTAAGTGTTACCAATCTGGCCCTGCAGTGCTAGGATGAGGTTGCTGTTTATGAGATTTTAATTTAATTCAAAACATTATATGGTTTCAGGACTTCATTCATTTAAACTAAACGTTGTCAAAATATGAAATTTATCTATTTTGTGTAGGTTTTTTGTTGTTTCATCTACATCACACAGTGTGGTGTTGGAGAACTATACTCACATTACATAAAATGCATGCATGTGTTGATTAGGTGGTTCTTGCTTTTATCCAGGTTTAAATAAACTCGAAGATTTAAATCTGTCATTTACTACAGTAACTGATAATGGCCTGAAAAGGTTGTCAAGGTTGACACAACTTAAATCACTTAATCTGGACACCCGACTGATTACCGACAACGGGCTTTCAAATCTTATCGGTAAGCATGTTTGCTTTCACTTATCCACTTTTTTTTTTCTTTGGGCTTAACTACACCTTTATCCCTCTAGTTTAGACTTTGTGATTTTAGTTTCCCAAGACTTTTTCCAGACAAATCAGGTCCCTCTAATTTTAAAACCTGAAATCCTCAAATCTTACTTTCTATTCAAACAGTTGGGGATTTATTATTGATTTAGGATATGGAATATTTAAAACTTTAGATGTCAGAAATATAGTGAAATTTGGTAAACATAAAAGGATTCAGTAATGGGATATTAGGGTTTGAAGAAAAGGAAATTTTGTATTTTTTTTTTTGGTGAAATTTTATATTTTAGTTAGCGAGTTTGGAGCCACAGAATATTGCAAATGATTTATTTGATTCGTAAAGAATTTGAAAGTTTTAAGTAAGAGGAAATTGACAGAGGAGCTTAATTGACGTAATTACATCAGTTTTTATTTTTTATTATAATTAATTTCATCAGTTTTTATTTTTTATTATAATTAATTTTATGTTTTAATATTTATTAAACATAAATGACGTGAGTTAAAATAGATTGGAAATCCTCCTAATTTAATTCTCATTGTTACATACGTATATTTTAAAAAATTAGAATTTTAAAATATTTGGGGGTTCACGGCATCTTTCTGCCCCTTAAAATCCTCCGTCAATGATGGTTTGTTATATTAAAATAAATATTTAAAAAAAGTAGGGGGTATTGATGCTTTTCTATTTGGGGCTATGTGATTAATTTTGCTTGTATTCGAGCTGTCTCATTGGAATTTTCTTTAACAGGTCTGAGTGGATTGGTAACATTGGATCTCTTTGGAGCACACATTTCAGACCATGGAACTGCATATTTGCGATGTATGACTAACAGTATATTTTTCTAACCTACCTAATTGCAAGTTGACTTTGTTAATTTGTAAGATATAACTGAGTAGTCTACCTTTGAAATTGAAGTACATCAGTAATAATTGGTGTTCTTGCCATTTTCTTTTTAGGAAATTTGATGATTATCACGTGGGCCGCACACTTTGATTTTTTCATGAAAATGTAATCAGTCAAGAAAATAAATTTAAAATTGCTTAACTGGAGAAGCAAGCGGTGAAAAATCTAGCTATCTAGTGGAAGTCTTTACTTTTCATGACGTTTTCACTTATACTTACAAATTTGATGTTATCTTCTCTGTCTGTAGACCTTGATAGCAATCTTATTTTACCTATTCCCCTCTAGAATTGATGTAAAATAGAATATTTGGTTTCTTTATATGTGTGTGTATGTTTTAATTTCTCTTCTTTTAGCTAGCTTAATTAATGACGCCATTTGCTTAGTAGAATCTGCAATAAATCCATGCTCATTTCTTTACGCCTATACTTTGAGAGCAAACACCCATATATGGAGGCAGTACTACTTGGGAACACCATTCTACACCAACTCACCTTTTTTTCATTTGTTGTGTATTGTTAGAAATGAGCACTGACTAAAAATAATGGGAAAATACGGGTTTACAACCCTGTGCTAAGATTACTGGTTATCTTGCCGGCTTAAATTTTAGTTCCTATTTTGTTCTCCATCTTGCAGCATTCAAGAACTTGCAATCCCTTGAAATATGTGGCGGAGGATTAACTGATGATGGCGTAAAAAATATAAGAGAAATTGTCTCGCTGACACAGCTAAACCTGTCCCAGAATTGCAACTTGACAGATAAAACTTTGGAATTGATATCTGGTATTTTCTGCTTCACTTCATTGCTTTATATAGTCCAATAAACTTTTTCCAAAAATAATTGTTTGGCGGAAACAGGCAATCATAATTAAGTATGAAAATGAAAAAAAAAAAAAGGAGAATTAGACGGAGAATATTATCTGTATTGGTTTTTACTTCCTCCCTTTGCCTTGTAATTGGATCAAGTACAAATTTGTCTTGCCTTGTTAACCCATAAATCTTATTTTTCTTTATATCTGAATACAGGCATGACAGCACTGCGGTCGCTAAATGTTTCAAATTCTCGTATAACCAATGGAGGACTACGGTATCTGAAGCCTTTAAAGAATTTACGCAGTCTTACCTTGGAGTCTTGCAAGGTTACTGCTTCTGAAATTAAGAAGCTTCAGTCAACTGATCTTCCAAATTTGATAAGCTTTCGGCCAGAATAAACCAGGAGAGAATTATGTTATCTATCTGGTGAACAATTCTCTGTACATATTTACGGCCACTGTTTGAATAGTTAAGAAAAATGTACATAAAATTAGCATGCAAGAATGTAATTATGCCCTATTTTGCATGTTTGTATTTTCCCGTCTAAGAATAATTGTGCATATATCTTTCTTTTCCCCTTTCTCTCCTGGATTTAGATGCCTGATGGGGCTATCTATATTGTCTGTGCATATTCTCATGTATGTGTATGTTTGGACCAGAGTGATGATGCTCATTACTGTATCCGTAAAGTAATGAATTGTGACTGGCTTTTAGTTACTGACTAATGTTTATATCTGATTTTTGTGGGATGCATTCCATATTTTATGATTCATTTTATTATGTCATTGTTATACAATGTCTCAGGCCGCGAGCACGGCAATGTTGGAATTACAACTCTGAGCGAAAATAGAATTCTGCTTGTTATGAGTTATTCGATGCCAGTCTTTTAGCACGCATAACTTAATAATGAGTTAATCAAGTTGCATGTCACTTAGGTTCAGAACTATGGACTAGTAAGTGGATGAATTTGTTTCCAAGTCTGAACTCAGATGTTTGGGTAAAACTTATGTTTTGAAAACAGTATCGAACTGGTGTATTGATAATACTAATAATTAAATTATAGATAAAACAACATTAAAAAGTATAATATTTTAATTTAAAACTACTACAAAAATCATTAATTTTATAATATTTTAATATTAAAAGTACACCTAAAAGTTAAATATTTAAGATTTTACAATGCATAATATTCTTTGAAAATAATAAGAATAACATACTTCAGGGAAAAAATCAGACTAATATTTAGAGAATATTTTTTTTTTTAATTCATCACTATCATGATCAGTTAGAAACATGTATGTATCTGTGACATTTTAAGTAGAAAATGCACTACAATTGTAAGAGTATGAAAACTGTAGGGCTGTTGGGCCTTATGATTGAGGCAACCAGACCCAAAGGGCCACAATGATCTTAGAAAGGGGTCCTTCATTTTCTAACTCAGATTTCAGTAACCAACTCTCCTTCTCTCTCTAAACTTAGTTCTCTTCTTTCTTCTCTGTCTTCTCTTTACTCTTACATTCAATTGAACCGTTGCATTTTCGATTAGGTGGAGTTCTTTCGCTCACGGAGTTGAGGGCTTCCTATCCATCCGATTAGATTTTCATTTGGATGGGTAAGTCAGTTTCTCCATACTTCTTGGATCTAGGGCATGCAACTTTACTGTTGCATGCAACTGGTAGTGCACCTTTTTGATTCTCTGTCTGTTCTAGCTCTAAGAGTTGTGTTGTCTCCACTTTAATGGATTGTAGGGTCTTGTTGGGTGTTGGCTGTGTAGCTATCGAAGCCTTGTTACTGTTGTGAGTTGTACCGTACTTGTAACCACAAGGTAAGGAGAGTCTAATTATAATTTTCATATTTGTTTTGGTTGAATCTATTTTGTAAATATGTACGCATGTTGAATTCTGAATTGGTGTGGTGGTTTGACTGTTTTCTTGATTTTAAGCATTTGGGTATGATGGAACTGTGATGGCTGGTGTGTGAATGAACTCGGTTACTGTTGATTGATCTTGTATGAAGTGTTGCTGGGTAAGGATTCTGTTGTAGAAACTTTTATATGAGCAGCTTAACAGTTAGGCAGAAGTTTAGGCTAGTGCAAGGGAAGTGAGGTAGTGATTTTGAGAAGTAGAGGTTCTTAGCACAATGGGGTTGTTGGAGCATCTTAGACAAGTCAATTGTGACTTGTTAGGGTCATAAAACTAGACTAAAACGAGTTGCAAAGGTTAGAATTTGATTTGGGTGCTTAAGTTATTGAATTTGGTGTTCTAGAGTTGAAATTGAGTCTAAGTCACTTTAGAAGTTTAGTAATGTTTTTAATCATCTAGGCAAGTCTAACTAAGTATATAATATGAATTGAAGGCCTTAGAAGTTGGCCAAGAGGTCTAGAAATGGTAAGAGCTGGTGTGAGTATGTGATTCTGCAGATAATGCAGAGTTGCTATGCGAGCTGTCTCGCATAGTGAGACCTTGTAAAGGGTGCTCACTGTCTGGGTAATTTGCTGAGCGAGCTGGTTCGTTATGCGAATTACCAGAGGGTGTTGCTCTCTGTTTGTGGACTCGCCTAGCGAGTCCTGTTGCTATGCGACTGGTGGTGGTCTGGGACCACTGCCCATTTAATTCGAAGGGCAAAGTGGGGTGCATAACGAGAGTGTAAGGAGGGTTGGTCTCTGTCTAGACTCTCGCACAGCAACCTGGGTGCTATGCGAGAGACCCAAAGTCTGATGCTTATTCAGACCTAATTCGCAAGACGACCTGAGTGGGTGCGCTATGCGAATAGCGCCAATCTCGCCATGCGAGGGTGGTGCGCTGTGCGACAAGTGTTGAATATGGTTCTTTAATTACCTCTTCTGTTGTGTTTGACTGATGTGTTCTGTGGTTGATTGGTGAAGTATTTCCCTGCATCGATAGTCTGTAATGTGATGTTCAAACAAGTATGTGGATGATATTAAAAGTGTATGGTTATAAGTGGTGGTAAGATGATACAAGTTGTAAACCAAGTTCCATCTGTGTAAGATCTCTTGGTGAGATTCTTAGTGTTTAGAATGAAAGTAAGAGCTTAGTCTTGGGGGTCATCCTGAAACTCCAATGGTCTTTCTTTTCATGTAGAGAGGATTGAACCATGTGGTGAGGAGTAGCAGGAGGTCTTAGTCTTGGGGGCTTCCAGTATGCCTCAAGGTCTAGAACAAGCTAACCTTGTGAGTGTGGTAGGGCAGGGGAGCCCAAGTTTCATAAGCTACCACGAGCGCAAGACCCACCATAGCTCGACTATCATTCTAAAGTCCGGACGAGTCAAGTTTAGAACGTAACATGTTAGGATGTGTGTTATCTTGTTTGATTCAATTTAAATCTTGTATACACATCTTGTCATATTGTATGCTTTTTATATAATTAGCTCACCCTTGCATGTTTGTGTTGTTTGCGTATGTTTTTTCTTGCGATGATCATCCACTTGGATGGGAGCAGATGTCGAGGAAGAACCCTTGGAACAAGCCTTGGAGGAAGAGAATGTTGAATCCTAGTATCATTAGGATATTAGTACTTTGGATTATGAACTTTGAAAACTATTATGTGTAGAACTTGTGTTGATTTGGGAGACCTTTAGTGTCTCAAGTTAACTTCATAGCACTTGTAAGGATGACTGTAATTCTTTATACTCTATTATATGTTTCCAAGTGCTTTTTATTATTATAATTTAATGACGTCTTTATTATATATGCATGACGTATATTTTAGGGATGTCACAACAACAGATAAGTTTAACACAGTAGGAGGAAAACTTTTTCAGAAAGAGACTACCTCAGCAAAGATGAAAGAGTAGATTACACATCGATAAATAACAAGAAAAAGGAACATGCATCTCCCGCTGCTTGCTTTTGGTACAAATTTAACATCCTACAAATCTACCAACTAAATGAAGGGCGAGAAAAATGAGCAAAAGCAGAAACTAAGTAAAAGGTAATTCCTGCAACGCCATCTTTCCAAGGTGTAAAGAACTTCTAGACCCTTGTGTATTTGGAAATTTAAACACCATTGAAAGAATATCTCAAGTATATTGGTGAACCCACATTCTTTTAAAAGCAGTATGATTAACCTGCAGCATAGACAAACCAAGGTTGTCATCAAACATGACGATAATCATATTATCAACACACTAAGCACAAAAGAACTCAAGGGGGACTAAATAATATAATTAAGCTATGACAACCATGTAGATAACTAAAGCTTTTTCTACGAGCATTAAGTTACAGTGGAATGTAATCATCATTATTACAGCACGATGTGATTCTAGAACCAGATTGGAGAACTTCAATGTATCTAGTTATTTAATAATGGGTCCCTCTACTAAGACAAACAGGGTCATAAACTACGACAACACTACAAATTGCAGTGTATACTCATGATAACATTCATTATAAGATAAGAAACATCTAAAATCCATGGTGATTTTAGTCATGGAATTTCCATTGTTGTGATGTTTAGTTACAAATTCCAAAGACTATAAAGATGTGTCACGGGGTCATATATATATATATATATATATATATATATATATATATATATATATATATATATATATATGCAGTGTGTTTCTTTTGACATAAGTATCTACTCCTTATTCAATAGTGTTCTCAATTCATACATACAGTGAATCTTATATTGCAAAAGTTGCTATTGGTGATGAATTTAAGTGGAATTTTTAGCATTTGAACAATTATTGCAACTATTTAATTATTGTACAGTTATCAAGGCGGTCAATTTGACTTTTGGGTAATAATAGCAGAGGATTGCTTGAATTTAGTTACAGAAATGTATAGCGTTGAATGAATGAAAAGCTTCTAAATGGCTTTTGCTGGACAGGAAAGTGGGGTGTGAATTGCAATATGCAAGATAAGTATCTTCGGTTTCATTTCTAATTGGCTATTTCATTTCACCAATAAACATATATAAGTAATTAACCAGTTACCTTCTGATGACAATAGCATTTCAGGCACAGAAGCAGCCTTGGTGACTGTTGACCGTGTCAATCTTCAAGTACTCGAAGAAACATATTCAACTCATGCAAGCTCAAAGGCATGATAAGTTTTTGAAACTCGCCTTCTGAATAAGGGTTCCAAACGAAATGATGGAACTCCACTCTTCCACATTTTAGCTTTGTACATCTCCTTCCATGCCTCTACTATTTCATCAATTTTGAAGGCAAGACCTGCCCGTGAAAAAGTTAACATGTATGAATCTATAGTATTAGCTATGTCAATTTTAAAGGCAAAACCTGCCAGTGAAAAAGTTTTTAGTGTCTTGAAAACATACCATCTACTGCAGTATTATTTGAACAGTGGTTCTTCAAAATTACAGCTATATCTGTTGGAGAAGCTCCTGCAAGTTCAAATTTCTCAACTGAAGCCGCAAGAGTTTCATGCCACATAGGAAGCCCTGATTTGAACTCCACAATTGAGCGTTCGTACAGAATGGTACCCCATAGGAGATTTATTTGAGACCTCATATGTGCCTCCTGTGCTGCAAGTTCTTCTGAGGGCATACTTTTAAAAACCACATCAGACCCCATGTTCTGCAAATCCAATATAGAATAATTTGAATCAGACATTTTACTCAAGTTCTGCTTTTCAGATTCTTCCCATATCTGCATTCCTTTCTCCATATTTTCTTCAGCATTGTTGTAAAGATGGAGAACCTCAGCGGAAGGCCATGTTAATGAGTCTACATTACTATTGAGTGCATAATACCACAAAAGTTTTGCTTGCTCAAACTTCTGCAGCCCCAGAGCCAAAAATCCTTCATAAAAATCTGACTTAATTTTAATGGCTGCATCATATTTTTCTTCTGCCTTTGAATACTCTTCCAGCGCCCATTCATATGAACTCTTGATCAGTTCGCATAGATGCTCTTTAGAAGAGTCTTCTGTTTTATATATCTTTTTCCTTGCCTTAGACATATGAACATTTCCCCAGTTGAACAATGCAAGAGCAGTCATCTCTTGGAACTTATCTCTAGCCATGTCAAATAGGCCTTGTGCTTCTTCGCCTGTAACCGTCTCCTCCATAGCCTCGGAATAGAGCTTCATACCTTGTTCGTGAAAATCCAAATATCTGTCACACTCAAAACCAACATGGTTCTTGAACAATTTGGCAAACTGAATTATCCACTCCTCAATGCAAGAAGAGCTAGCAATTCCATTTGCTTTTCCCACACAGCTATTCTCAACTGCAATGTTAATGCCAACAACTTCCCCCTCCTTCACTTTAAATTTCTCAAAAAGTGGATCCTGCTCAGGAGTGGCTTCTACGATGTACAGTCTGATACAACTATGAGATCCTATTTCGGCCCTTCTTAATTCATCATCAGAAGTGATTGTGACTAAATCACCTTCTTGGTCCCTGTATTTGACAAGAACAGCTCCTAGGCTCGAAAATCGATCTTGAATAACTTCTCTTAACTGGAAGAGGCTACATTTGGTAGGCAGTTCAGCACATCTTATATCATCACCAAAAATAAGTTTAACTGTTTTGTTAGGAACATGTTCCCTTCTGCCATTACTTCTTTCCTCTATAACTTCCTTTATATCAGCCTTCTTCTCATCATTTTTTTCCTTGGCCTTCTTCTTCTTCGATGTGTTGATCTTCTTCTCAACAACCACAATGCAGCCCTCAGTCTTCTTCTCCTCGGTTTTCCTTTCTAGAATTTTGTCATTAGGAGCCTTCTTTTCCTCTTTATAGCCCTTCTTCTTGCGCATATTCTCTTTCACTACCTTTTCTGGAGTCAAAGCACTAGGAAGTTCGACATAATTTGGAGGCAACTCAATTATTGTATCGTTAACTCTCGATCCTTTCTCCTCAAGTGCATTTTTCACCTTTTCTGAGATCTCTAATGCCATGACATTATTTGGTTCCATCTTTAGAACAGTGCTGACATCTCTTAGAGTTAAATCCAGCCTATTTAAAGCTTCATAGCACCTTGCTCTCTTCAACAGTGCTTTACTATATTTGGGTGTCACTTCCAGAGCCAAATCACATTCATGAATAGCCCTTGGGAACTCACCGACTCCCATTTGCATATAGCATGCAGCCATGTTGCTCCGCAGATAGGACACATCAATATGATTTCTCGGAAGTAACTTCAGGGCTTTCTCATATTTTAGTATTGCTCCTTCAACATCCCTCTTCTGGAACAGCTTGTTTCCCTCATTCTTAAATTCTTGAGACATGGAAATGAACACCATAGTATCATTATCATATGTTTTGGGACTGCTATCTCCCATTTTACTATCCTCTCTTATTTCTCCTACTTGCTTTGTTTTCTTTCTCATTTTCCCAGTCTCACACAAACACAACTCAATTTATTCCAGTCAAACCAAGAACACAATAAAACCAATAACAAGGTATACCAAAAAGAAAACAAATATAAAGGCAATCTAACATGAGAGACCTTCAGATATAATTAACATGGCATCATCCAAAACTCAAGGAAACGGTGGATAACATAACAACAACATAACCAAGTTGATAGAACATAGCCTCCTATGTGAAGCCCATGTGAAAGTTGAAGAAAAAATCTTTAATCGGAACAAGTTCAAAATCTCAAAATGGTGCCAGTGAAAATTGACTGCGTTGTCCTCTTACCATAATGTTTCAAGTGACACAAACATTCAACACAGACGTATCCTTCTCTCTCAATTATTATTTGTTTGAGCGAATACAAATTCCATTTCACAGACAGACTTCAGAAAAGGTCAAACAAAACCCAGAATTTGGGAAGAGAAATAAACTTATCTGGGTAACGAGTTATGGGGGAAAGCTTCAAACTTTGCAACAACAAGGAAAACCAGAACACAATGTGACAGCAAGGAAGTTTGAAATGGAAGAAAAGCAAGTGGTGTTGTTGACGTTCTTTTGTAATGTGGGAGAATGGTTTTTCATAGCCTTCACGTTAACGCCACCAAAGCATTTGTCAAAAAAGAAATCACATAACGTGAGCTTCTTAACTGAACTCAGAATCTGATATCTCATGGCAAAGTATTTTTCTTTTTCTTTATTTTTGTATATGGTGGGTCCATTCTATATTCCTCTGATGCCAATGAATTAACCATTAATTGACAACCTTCATAATCATGGGAAGCGACAACAACTACAACTTCAACTTTGTAAATTGTTACTTTTCTCGTACATATTAATTACAATTGGAGCTGTAAAAACGGATAATTCCATTTGATACGATTTGACTTATCATAGATTGATTAATAAGTCAATCTAATCTGATTTTGAGTTGAAAAAATTTGAATTCAGTGTTGCTCGTCATAAATTAATGAATTAAACAGACAGAGAAAAAACAAAGTAAAAAACAAGTAAACGAATACAAATTGAAAAAAATATCATAGTAATATAACAATAAACTAATAAAACCATAAAATTATACTCCATTAACATAAAAAAGAAAATTAAAAAAACATCATTCTCCAATCTATTGTTTTACATTTCTAGGCAAGTTTTGCTCTTATTGTAATTTTATAAATAAATAAAAAATAGAGGGGAAGTGAGAGTGAGAGATTGGTTGGTAGATAGGAAAAGTGAAAAAGCATTGTGGGAGATAGAAAAAGAAAGGAAAGCTGGTAACTACGTTGGTGTTGGTTTTGATGTGTTGTGCCACTGCACACCGCATATGCTTGCTTCCTCCTAAAGTTGTAACTTCATTTTTTTTTCATTCATAAGACTTAAATATGAATCTTGTACAACTCATGATCTACGTGATTCTTCACAACTCTTACACTAAATAAAAAATAAATAAAGAATCAGAAAGACAATACCACAAGTAATCTTTTATAATTTTTCCTTTTTATGCATATTTGGATCAAACTAAGACTTAACCATCAACATTCAAGTAAAAAAAAAAGTTAAAAAAACCCATCATTAATGCTTATTTTTTTCTTTGGCTAGATTCAATCTACACAATAGGTCAAACATCTCTAAAAATAAATAAATATCATCAAAAGTAGCATTAGTCTCAAACCACTACCTCGTGATCTCTGAACTTTGCAGGCAAAATGAATTGCAGTCATGGCCTAACTAATTACAATTAAGTTTATTATATGCATTAAACAAATGGTCTTTTTTTAAATAATTACGAGGACTTGGAATTTGTTCTGTGCGGAAGTTGAATATGTTGTTTTTTTCCTAGGATTGTTTCTTTTTAGAGTTTAAACTATTGTTGTCTTATTAAAGATGGGAATAATTTACCGTTGTCCTTTATCGTTGTTGGTAACATGAATTTTAAATTCAACCGTTGTATGTCAATATATTTAATGATTATTAATCTTTCCACCACCATAACCTTTCCTTTGTTGAGTTTTGAAGTCTTATGTTCTTCCACGAGCTATATCTAGATGCAAATACATCCTTCCAAAATTCTAGTTTTTCTGTTTCTAACCTCCATTTCCATTTTACCAACAAAACTATAATGAATTTTCCTATTTCTCTTATGCCCAGTCCACCATCTTCCATTGATTTACACATATTTTCTCATTGATCCAAACTATCTTCCTATCCTATTTCTCCCACCTCAACATAAATTTTCTTTGTATTTTTATTATCTTTTTACATAAACTTTGGCGCTTTAAAGAATGACAAGTAGAACAGTTGTCCCTCTTGTAGAATTACGGTCAAATAGTTTGTCACATTTTCATGGCCTAGAACTTCTTTTTTAACATCCTCAATGACAATGGGGAGAACTATTTGTCATTAAATTCAAGGATTAATTCAGGAATGCATGCAACCTCTTCCAAAAACAAATCACAGATTGACATGCTCCAAATGAATTCAAGTACGCAATATTTCTACCAAATATCTGAAAAAGAAGGACCAGCCTAACTAGGAATCGTATTTCAACCTAAAAAATAAAAACAAAAGAGAGAGAACATTTGATCAAATATGAATGAAGATTAAAAAACAAAGGACATGTTCTGTGTGTGCAAACTAAACTCTCTAGCATTTATCATTTCTAATACAGTAAACATCCATTTTGATCTTCCGAAGATACCATTGTCATTACTCAACAGTTTGGTCCTCTGATGATAAATACCCAGAAATTGTTCAACTTGATGTTAAAAAAACTGACAAGGACCATTTTGATGTTATTTATACTAGAATTTTGCTAAAGCCAAAGGTGGCACCAATTTTTTGATTTTACCATTGTATCATCTTGTTAACTTTCCATTTTTATTTCGGTATAACATGTTTGTCAGGATCTACATATTTAGAACTAATTCTGATATTATGGTTTGACAGAATTACTGAACGCTGAAAAGTCAGGCTGTAAATGTAGAAATAGATTACAGGGATATTAATTTATTATGGCAACGTGGGATGTCTTTTCCTCGTTAAAGGAAGTGATTATGTACCACCAGTACCTGCTGAAGCCATGAAACTAACAGATAGACTGTCAATACCTCTAAAACACTGATTTATATTAAACAAGTGGTAATCCAGAGTAAATCCACAAAACAAAATTATAGGATTACAGTGATTACTTATTAAGGTAGAAAATTGGTAATGCTTGAGGGCCCTTTTGTGGTAAACTAGAAGACAACATCTATATACAGCATGTACACATCCTTCGGAATGCAGCACCTCTATGGCCTTGTACAACTTCAAGAACAAATGGCCTGAGCAAATTCCAAATAATGTGCTTAACAAACTGTTTAACCTACCGAGCCCTCAAGCTTCAAGCTCATGAGTTGGTTCACCTCGGAACCAAATTCATCAGGAAGCTCATTGAAGACATCACGGCAAAAGCCAGAGATCATTGCGGCCATTGCCTTTTCATAGTCTATTCCCCTTTGCTGAAAATAGAACAGTTGATCTTCTCCAATTTTAGATGTACTGGCTTCATGTTCAATTCTTGCCGTTGGATTTTTCACCTACAAAGTAATCGTGATTGCTTTAGCAAAACAAAAGTATACAGATATGGAAGCAGGGAGAAAATAAAGAAAGACAAAAGAAAATGGGAAGTAATGCGGATTAGTGGGGCAGGGAATAACTCCAAAAAACTGATGACCTGCTGTTTCTTTTTCAAACCAACAACAAAGAGATAGACCAAAGTCTCGGTCTAAGTCTGATTCAATGTTACAAATCCTCTCTCTACTTAATTTGATTATACTAAATCTCCGGTACATTCGCTCTCATTGAGGATTCAACATTTTTTAATGTGAAGTTTCACAAGACCATATATTAGTGTGGGTTCTGCTTAACGGTTAAGATAAACAACAAGCTTAGATATAAACTCCAATACCATCAAGGCCAAATCCTATCTTAAATTCTTAAGTCCAAAATAATGATTTCCTTAGTTCTATACTATTGTTTATCCTCATGCATTCACCCCTTCCTATTCTATCCACACACAAAATAAACACTGATTCCAACCAACAGCTACAACAAAAACCTATTCCAGTAGGTAAAGTCAGCTACATAAATCACACAATTCCACCTTGTTTATGAAAACAACCTACCTAGAATCGTTCCAGCAAGACAAACAAAACACACAAGAAAAGCAAAAAGGCATGCTACTACACACCTGAATGTAAGGATAGGTATTGGCAGCTGCATTGTCCCCAATAAGCATGGAGTCACACTGCGATGAGTTTCGCGCATTGTCCGCCTTGGACAGAACCTGAACCAGCCCTCTATAACAGTTCCTGGAATGTCCAACGGATATACCCTTGGAGATAATCCTACTCCTTGTGTTCTTCCCTTTGTGTATCATCTTGGTCCCCGTATCAGCCTGCTGATAGTTATTCGTCAAAGCAACAGAATAGAACTCCCCAACACTATCATCTCCCTCCAACACAACACTCGGATACTTCCACGTGATCGCAGAACCCGTCTCCACCTGCGTCCACGATATCTTCGACCGCGACCCGTCACACACTCCTCTCTTCGTCACGAAATTGTAAATTCCACCTTTTCCATTCTCATCCCCAGCGTACCAATTCTGCACCGTGGAGTACTTTATCTCCGCCCCCTCCCCACAGTACAACTCCACCACCGCCGCGTGGAGCTGATTCCGGTCATAGGACGGCGCAGTGCACCCTTCCAAATACTCCACAAAGCTCCTGTCGTCGGCAACGATCAAAGTCCGCTCAAACTGCCCCGTTTCCAGCGCGTTGATTCTGAAGTAGGTGGAGATCTGCATCGGGCACTTGGTGTCTTTGGGAATGTAGCAGAACGACCCGTCGCTGAAGACGGCGGAGTTCAACGCGGCGTAGTAGTTGTCATCGGAGGGCACGACCCTCCCTAAGTACTTGCGGACTAACTCGGGGTACTCCTTAATAGCCTCGGAGATGGAGCAGAATATGACCCCGGCCTTCTCGAGGGTTTTGCGGTGGGTGGTGGCGATGGAGACGCTGTCGAGGACGGCGTCGACGGCGACGTTGGCGAGACGCTTCTGCTCGTTGAGAGGAACGCCGAGCTTGTCGAAGTAGCGGAGGAGTTCGGGATCGGCGTCTTCGAGGGATTCCAGAGAGCGTTTCTTCTTGGGAGCCGAGTAGTAGCAGATATCCTGGAAATCGATAGGAGGGTAGCTGTTGTCGGACCAGGTAGGGACTTTCATGGACAGGAATTTCTCAAATGCCTTCAATCGGAATTCCAGCATCCATTGAGGTTCCTCTTTCAGGGACGAGATCAGTCGAATAGTTTCTTTGGAGAGGCCTTTAGGGATCGAGAAGGAATCGATGTCTATGCTGAATCCGAACTTCTTATCATAATCGCGGTTGCGGAGGATTTCACGGATCTTCTCGTCGGAGGAAGTGGCGGTTGCGGCGGTCTCTTTCACCTCGGCGCGCACCGTAACGTGGCGCGAAGGTTTTGGGGGTTTGATGTTTAGGGTTGGGGGGACAATGGATTTGGGGTGGCGCGTGGGTTGCGGAGGTAAGGGGGAGATGGAGAGGCCGTTGCAGCGGAGAAGAGACGCCATGGATGAGGTTTGGTTTGACACAGATAATTAAAGAAAATTGGGAATTTGGTTCCTTCCAACTTACTTGTGGGTGTCGTGTGTCCTCAGCGTGCAACTTTGATTTTTCCATAATCATCAAATTCAAATTTATAATTTTTATTCCCACTCACTCTTCTGTCTTGTGAATTTGTTTTTATTTTATTTTTACCTACCTTGATATATTTCTAATAATTTTTTATTTTTAGTTACTCGTTTTTCATCTTTAATATGACAAACTTATTCCATGTGTCTTATAAATAGACGAGTCTGTTATATCATATGTGAAGATGAATTAAAGAAGATGTATGTTACCATCATAGACAGAAATTTTTGTTGTGACAGTGCTCGTATTTGAAGCTGTGTTTTGCTGATTGAGAAAGAAACAGTCAGTTATTTATGAGTTTTGTTTTGTTGCATTGTGAGCTATCAGTTTATTGGATATATTTAACCTTACTATTTGGCATCTTTTTTTCTTTTAAAAATAATCTTTTTTATTTAAATTCTTACGTCAAAATGTTGAATGCAAAAGTTGCACATGTTTTCTTGTAAAAGGAGAAATTCATGGAGATGTGGACGAGAATTGCCAAGAGTTACAAGACGTGATTGCTTCCAGAAAAATAAATGTTTAATTAAATATTTAATAGGAAAAAAAATGGACCAGAGGAGAGGCCTGTGCTGAATTCATATAGATTTATCTTTTTGAAAAATAAACCCAATTTAAATAAAAAAATTCCTACATAGACCCTCCACACTTTATTTATTTACCTTTAGACTTATTTATCAGGGACCGAATTTTTAAATATGTACAATGGTTGCCGCTACTATAAAACAGGTTGCACTTCAATTTTCTCAATGCCGACAAGGTTAGAGAGATGTACGTCTAGTTTATTATTTTGTTATAAACTTCTAGACAACTCTTAATTGGCCTTATAAAATATTTCAAACTCTTGAAAATAGTTTATATCTGTTGACTCAAAATCTCTTAAAAACTCCATTTTTATACTAAAAGCATATAGGATGTATTATGATAATAGATTGGTTTCAGTTAGTTGTACTATCATTATAAATGTACGAATTACTAATTATATCTAATCCGGATGAGTCTTGTTTAAGTTATGGTATGTATATGATGAATGGATTATTATGATTTTTGAACTAATTTTGAAATTGTAATATAATATATATGAACTGTCTTGTTTAGGCCTTGTTCTTTTGAGTGAATTTGAGGATATTTGATAGGATTTGAAGATAAATTTTTTTTGTCGTTTATTTGAGTGAATTTGGAGGTAAATGAGAGTGAATTTGGAAATAAATTTTTTTAATTTGTCACGTCAATACAATTTTATACTAATTCTCACAGATTTTATTTCCAAATTCACTCTCATTTACCTCCAAATTCACTTAAATAAACGACAACAAAAAAATTTATCCTCAAATTCACTCAAAAGAACAAGGCCTTATCTAATTTATCCTTCTTATCTGTCTTTGTGTATTTTTTTTTTTTGCTATGATTATTTAAATTGTGTGAGCTTAAGGATGACATATTTTCAATTGTTCCAGATGACACGTAGATAATGTTAAAATGTTGTAAAAAAATATTGTCAAAAGATATCATTATCCATAACTTTTTATGTTAAAATGTTTCAATTAATTATACTAAAATTGATAAATGTTTAATAAATCACAATGATGTGTTAATAAAATAAAGCCAATTTTATCCATTGGATGCTGTTTATATTTATAAATTTTTCCCTTTCGTTATTAAATAATTGAAATAAAATATAAATTTCAACATTTTCATTTAATACTTTAACTCATTCTTTATTTTTGACTGATTTTTTTTAATAATTATATAAAATAATAATTTATAGTTTATATTTTTTATTTTATTTTTCACTGACTTTTCTATAAACTATTATAATAATAATAAAAAATATTCCCAATTAAATATAAAACTAAAATTGAAATTCAACTGAAATTTGTTCTAAAAATTTTAATAATTAAATAACTTTGTATTTCGTTCCTAATTGGGTTTCTTATAATTTCCTTTTTCTTTCTTTAGCTTTTCTATTACCTGAGAGCTAAAGGATTTGCTAATAGAAGTTAAATTTGATTTTAATGATGGTGTTTTTGGTTACTGACATTGTCCCATTTAAGGTTTTTTACTAGGTCTTAATTTATTTAAAAAAATAGTGTATAAATATTTATGAGAAGTTGCTAAAAAAAAGGATTTAAAGTAAAAGAAGAAGATAGGAGTGTACTGAGAATTAAGAGTGAAGAATTGAGGAACAGAAGAGGTGGTGGGTGATGGCCAAAAAGCGGAAGGCGAAGAGAGCCCTGAACGTAAAACACCACCATCAATTCCAAAACCAAAACCAAAACCAAAACGTCGCCGCTTTAATCGCACAAGTCACGCACACAGCACACTCTTTTCTATCCGGCAACGACCTTCTTCTCCTCCCTTCCCAATCCCTCCGTCTCGAATCCCTAATCTCATCCCTCATTTCCCTCTCTCCACAACCCAAACCCTCACCCCTTCTCTCTCCGCCACACCGCGACTGCTGGTTCCGCCGCTTCTGCTCCCTCTCCGATTCCCGATGGCTCAATGCCTTCCGCATGTCCAAGCCCTCCTTTTCCCACCTCCTCCACCTCCTCACCCCCTCCCTTGCCCCCTCATTCCCCCACATCGCCCCCGACTGCGTTCTCGCCGCCGCCCTCTTCCGCCTAGCCCACGCTGCCCCCTACGCCGCCATCGCCCGACGCTTCGGTATCGCACCGTCGGAGGCCTGCCGCGCCTTCTTTGCCGTTTGCAAGGCAGTCGTCGACAACTTGGGACACCTCTTCGAGCTCCGCACCGGTTCCGAGAGGGTTGTGGTGGGTTTCGGCCTGAGTTCTCTCCCCAACTGTTTCGGGGTTTTGGGGCTGGCTAGGTTCAGAATTGATGATTCGTTGTTGGGTCAAAATGGGTGCTTGATGGTTCAAGCGTTGGTGGATTCCGAAGGGAGGTTCTTGGATGTCTCGGCTGGGTGGCCAAGTACCATGAATCCCGAAACCATTTTGCGTGAGAGTAAGATTTATCATGAGGTTGAAGAATCCAAGGAATTGTTGAATGGTCCGTGTTATAATCTCCACGACGGTAATTTGATTCCTCAGTATATTCTGGGAGAACCTTGTTTTCCCCTTTTGCCGTGGCTTTTGACGCCTTATAACAGAGTGAATGAGGAGGATAGTTTTGGCTCGGCGGAGAGGGCTTTCAATTGTGCTCATGGTAATGCAATGGAGTTGGTTGGTAATGCCTTTGGGGGACTTCGTGCCAGGTGGCAGCTTCTCGCGACATCGAGGAAGTGGAAGCTAGAGTGTATTGAGCATTTGCCGTTTGTGGTTGTTGCTGGCTGTCTGTTGCATAATTTTACTGTCAAGTGCAATGAAAAAATGTCAGATGAAGGGGTGGGAAAGGGTTGCTTGGAAAAGGAAGAGGGATTTCCTGCTTTTGATGGGGTGGGGGACGAGAATGCAGTGAGGGTGAGGGATGCACTTGCTATGCATTTGAGTAGGATGAGTTCCAGAAAATGAATAAATAGTGTTAGGGTGGAATATTAATATATGGTATACTTATTTTGATTGGTCGATTTGTTTTTTGGAATTGCTGGCAATGGCAAGTGTCACTTGCAGTTTGGAAACCATGTATGGCATCAATTCCATTATATTCGATTCGTTGCCTTCTTGTAGTATATTGAAGGATAGCTTGAGTAGAAAGAAATCTGCAATCAGCATAATTTTTCAATTGTTGGCTCCGCAAGTGTTCAGATTTCTCATATCATTTTCGTCTGTTACAGATGAGCTGTTTTTAAAATTTGGCACAAAATTCTCTCCGATTCAGTGGAAGCCACTTAGAATTAATTGCTGGGTTTGCCAGTGGAACCATGGTTAGTACGTAGCATAAAATCTTTAGTGATTGACCCTTTTTTTATTTTAAACCTGATTTGCAAACAGTCATTCAGATTTGTACTTGTCATTTGCTTCGGGCTCTTGACAACTTATCAGAATTGTCTTCGATGAAGTGGTAAAACCTGGGTCGCTACTTATCACAATTAAAAATTTATAGAACTGCTGCAATTACATTTAAGGTTAACATATAAAATCAGTGGAAAAGTTTAAGCTCATAAAAATTTTCATGAGCTCAGCCTTACTCTTTTCCCATCATACGTGTCAGTGGGAAAGGACAGGGGTTGTGTGTTACTAAAGAAAAGCAATACAACTTTTCTGCGGTAGAGGTCCACAAAGAAAAGGGCGTTGAACATGACAAGTTGTTGTGTCACTTGTGTGCCTCATTGAATTATTTCAGTGTGCCTAATCTAGGAAGTTGAGGAGAGACTCTTTCCAAATTTGTCGCTTGGTTTCAAATGGGAGAATGTGACTCAGTTTTGTCAAGTTAGTTGTCAATTCCAACTTCATGCAAGTTATTGTTCCAACTTTTGAAAGACGTCAAACCAACCTCAACTAATTATGAAAAACTCATTGCTATGTGCAATTTTGCAATGGATGGGTGAATTAGTTAGCGAGTGCCTACTAGGGTTGGTAAAATTTTAAATAGTTTAGGTTAAGTACTTCGTTAAACTTTATCGTCGTGGTTGAAACACTGTAAATTTGTCCGGATCTTAATACTTGTGGTCCTTAGATATATGTGTTCCCTTGTTAGTAGTTTGAGAGACAATGAATAAATGAATTTGAGGATAAAGATTTTGTTTTTTTAAGAAATTTAAAGGTGAGAGTGAGTGAAGCTCGCAAGAGTTTGTGAAAAATTTGATGAATATGATAAAATAAAAAAATATTGTAATAAATAAAAATATAAGAATTTTTTTGTCCTTATAATAATAATAATTATTATATTAAATATTAAATGTGAAATATTATTGATGAAATTTTAGCTAAAAGTGAACGTATGATTTGATAAAATATGAATTTGGACACGATGGACATGCACAACAAAAGTATTGTCTACAGTAAAAAAGCGTAGCATGGAATTTCCAAAAAGTGAGAGGAAATTTTTGTAAAAATATCAAAACCAAATGCTAAATCCCTTCCAATATTTTTTGGGCAGAGAAGACTCTCCTTCCCCTTCATCCCCAAATCCTCAGTAACAAATACTATCAAACCCATTGAAATGAATATAAAGGTCACTCTCTTTTTCATCTTCTCCAATAGTAAATTTGTAGAAGGGAACACAGCATAAATAATTAAACCTTTCTTCTTTATTTCTCTTCTTTAAGAAAAAATGTAATGAATTTGCTGTTTTTATACACTGATATTGAGCAAGGGAAAAAATATATAAAGAGCAGGAAATAATTAAACTTGTTGTAATCATCTACTCATTTAATGTTTACTCGTATTACTAGCATTGACAGTGAAAGACAACAGTTAAATTTAAGGGATAGCTGGAGATAGTATGTACAAATAGAAGAGGACTTTGGGCACCAAATCCAAAAGGTCTTAGACTCTACATTTTGTGTGTAGATTGCAGTCGGTGATGGTGTGACAGCGTCGGCATATTTCCATTTCTATGGGAATGAATCTTCTGCCAGATTCCCTAAATGATGATGTGCATGGTTGAATGTGTTCCATCATAATTGAAGCTTTTTAGATGAACAATTCTTTACACAGTTCGACCAGCAAGATACCAAACCCATGAAGCCAGAGCCTGATTTAATATCCTCCCTTCTTTGTAAAACTCTCACAAACTCGCTTACACTTAGGGTTCCGTCACGGTTAGCATCAAACACATGAAAAATTATGTCAACCACTTTATCTGTAATACAAACACCACAAACCTGCATGAATAGAACATAACACATAAGAACTTATTCGTGAATTCAAAATGGTTTTGATTTAATTTGGCAAAGGCAGATATCAGTACTTGAGATGCTGCTCTCTGAAAATCAGTTTTTGTCAACGCCCCATTAACTTTTCCATAACTGAATATGGCCAGAGAAAAGGATTGCAACTTCTTGCGCAATTCTGCAAAATCTTGGAACTCCTTGAATGTAAGCCTTAATTCTCTGAGTTGCTGGTCCCTGTTCAGTTCTTCCACCCTATCCAACAGTTTGCTTATGTGATTGACGTCTGCAGATGCAACCAAGGACAGGGCAAAATCTTTGGCTGTAATGCTTCCTCTTTTATTGTAGTCATAATGGGAAAACTCCAACCTTAAGATCTGCAAATTAAATTCCAAGGGCATTGCATGTTAATCACGAAATATTTTGCAATCTTTAAGGATGATTCGAAAACTAAAATTTTCATCAAGTTTTCTACATATTTTGTTGAAGTTGACCAATTTTTCAGCAGACGTTCTAGTTGCTAACAAGATAGTTGAGTCTTATTGTTATGGAATATAAAACAGAGATCGCTGTCAATGATATCAGAAATAGTTCGTACAAAAGAATTCGTATATTGCAGAACATGTTTATTCTTAATGTAAGACTTCTTCTTCAGCCACATTTACGACACCAATGAAACAATCCAAAGACAGAAAAGTAGCATACCCTGAACTCACTTACCTCATCATGCAGCTGTCTTAAGAATTGAACAAATCTTTCATGTTGCAAGCATGAATTTCCATGTTTGCCAAAAAAATACTCCAAGAGACCCCCATTTTCTACAGAAGTATTGACGCGAAGACGTCGTCCATCTCTGTGATTGGCCCCTTGTCTGTTTTGTGATCGCATCAAGGCCATCACTTTCTTGAATTCTTGCCTGTCTATTTCACTGTTGACAAACACCTCTTAAAATATTCAGATATATCCAAAACATAAAACAAAAATCCAAATTCTTATACAGACAGATCTGACTAGTAATCCCAATCTGTTTGACATTGTTAGATGTAACTAAATCTTGTCTACACTTGTCTGTCTTCATGCCTGTTTCAATTTTTTTATCTTAATTATACACCATACTCGATATGTTACGTGCTTAGTGCTATACAGAGAACGTCATATTAGATTTGCCTTAACAGTAATATGATTGAGCTTTTGACACTGAGCAATCCAAAACACTGATGGTGTAAACAAAAGATGGATGTCTGCATTTGATTTCTTCAACCAAGTGATAGTGGACTCTACATTGTAAAAGGATCCATATCTAAATTATGGATAGTTCACTAGTGTGTGTATTGTAAAAAGAATCATTGATGGTACACACAACACAACATGCCGAAGCTAATTGGGAATTCCATTAAGGAATGTGAAGGCCAAAGCTTCATGCAATTTGTAAATACAGCTTATGACATGCAGAAGGAAAAGAGAAGTTCCTACCCGTTGTTATCAAGGTCAAACATTTTAAAAGCCACTGAAAAGCTGGACTCTGGTATGCTGAGGAGAGTAACAAAAAATATATACCTGGTGTCAAGAAAGAAGAGCTTTTGTTATCCAAATTACATGGCATTAGTACTCATTCAGCAGTTGTTATGTGAGAAGTTTCAAGCAAATAAAAAAGACAACAAATACGCACTCTGCAAAGGAAATGAGTCCGTCATTATTAGTGTCAAAGAGCATAAAAAACTTTGAAGGTTCACACTGCAACTCCCCGGGAACCTGCTCCCCTCTTAGAAAACCCTCTCTAACACGGGTTGATTCGGAGGGAGGAAAGACAGGAACAATGGCACGCATCAAATCTGCAGGTGTCATAAAAATCTCACCACTAGGGGATTTAACAGATGCAAAGTACTCGAAAACCTGCACTTAACATGGTGCCAGATAAATGAAACATGCCATAGTAACAATTCTCTGCTTTTTAAGCTGAAGAAAGAAAAACAACAACAACAACAACATGGCTGATAATTATACAAACACATGATGACAAGATTGTTTACCTTTTCAGGAGGGCTCTGCAAGCGAATGCGTTTTTCATAATTAAAGAATATTCTTCTTCTATAGTCATCTGCATCAAATCAGAAGCATAACAAATCTAAAAATTTGCAACAACAGTGTAGATATGACTTTTGAATTAATTATTACTGAAGACAATAATTTCCAATTATACGTCAATGCATGATTGAACAACAGTGCAAAGAAGCTTTTAAATTATTAGTATACAAGTTTTAGGAACCGTATTGCACGTGAATTAACGAAGTTTATTGAAAAACAACATATTTATTATCAGGGACATATTGTTCCAGTGAACATGGTCTCGTGACATTGCGAATTGAAATTTAAAAAAGGAAATTACGCACTAAAATGAGAAAACAAATGTAATGAAGATGCAATAACGTGAATCATTGATGAATAGGAGGATACCGTTAAAGAGAAACCTGGGGGGTTTGGTCTGACGCTTTTGTTGGAGCTGATCCTGATTGGCAAAATCAGAAAATGACTCAAGAGAATTGGAACCAGAAGAAGACAAAGAGGAGCAATACCAAAAGCCTAACGTGGAGGCAACAACCACAACCCCAGAAGTGATTGCTCTAAGAAAGGCTTCGAAGTCTCCGATCCTCTCGTCACCATGTGTGGGCCCAACAAAGGAACTGAAGGAAGAAGAAGATGATGATGATGAGGTGGAACCTTGTGATTGGCTGCAGAACGGCCTTACGTTATGCCGCAGAGAAAGTTGAATTTTTCTACCCAAAGAAAACATGCTAAGGTTGAGTTGAGACTAATGTGAAATTGGGACAACGAGAACACACCATATATGGAGTGTGCATAATGTTATGTCGCTGAAAACGTTGGAAAGAAACACTGATTCAACATCCAACCAGGATGTAGTTTGTGTACGGATGGAGCGCGAAATTTGTGCTCCTTTGACTCGGATTCAAAGTTGCATGGTTGGTTGTGATTTCTCCTTTCATGCATGGACATGGAATATCTCTCTTCTATTTTTATAATGTCTCAAATCTTTTTTTTTAATTAAATAGTATAAAAAATCCTGTTGTTTTTTTTATTAAATAATGTTACATGATAAAGATTTAAAATTTTGGGAAAAACAGTGAATTAATCTTTCATTAAAAAAACATAAAAATTTTAAACCCAACAAACATATTTTAGACATTGCTAAAAAAAAATCATGGATGTGAAAAAAATTTCCTTGTAAGAAATGTCATTGAAATTCTTCTCTATACCACTAAATAATAAATGAGACTCCTTAAATAATAAACCTTTAAATACTATTACTTATACTTTCTTATATTAATTTATTTTGCGTGTGTGAACCTAGGTTGCCTTCAGCTTAAAGCTACGAAATAATTGATACAACTACTAATGTGTAATTCAAACAAATGTCAATAATATTATTGATTTTAGTTGACATTAATAATGCACAAATTTTGAGATAGTAAATATGTACAGAAGTATAGGTCTACATTAAGGAAGTAGTAGTGCTGCGCCCTCTTCCCCTTTCTCTAAACGATCAATTCACCATTAATATCTCACGTGACATCGGTTGGATTCGTAGTTCTCTGTCAACCCCTGCTGCCAAGCCATAAAATTTACAAATCAAGATCATAGACCAACCATGGCCACAAGCTTTGAAGGAAACCAAACAAAGTAGATGATGCTTAGGTGTTTTATTAAAACTTCATGGCATTACAATTTTTTGTGACAGCAAAAGTAAGAGTGTTCTCATGTTTGTTCACATGATGTCGTATCAGTTGTTAAGAAATGTGGCATGTGCAGCTCAATACCTTGATTTAGACCAAACCAGAGGATGTAACTGCGTACTTTGTAGGTAACTTGCCGTGTTCTTTGGCTTCTGAAATGACTTGATGCCATTGGTTTGCTGCTACAGTTGTTTTACCATCCAATCTTCTGTCATCAATTATGTGTGGAAGGACAATCGCCCCACCAACTGTGACTTCATTCAACCCATTACTTCATTGCTCCATAGCGAAGACCGACATGGGATGCTTACCAAAATAATTATTCCTGGTCAATTTATATGGCTTCTCTTCCCCTCTTGTATACATTACTGCAATCTAATTAAAGTGGCAGGTATGTGCTAATTGGTAGGCTCGAAGATTCAAGGTGTGGGTCATTTGGACTTTTTCTTGGACTCTCATCTGCAAAATAGGTAGTAGGTTTACCAAATTGATTTGCCTTAACTACTTTCCATTTCATGGGCCCTTCATGGCTTTAATTAACTTTAACCCATGTTACTCAAATCTTAAGCCAACCACTGTCGTAATCTAACTCACTAAACACCACAAAGACACACTCTTTATTGGATATTTTTAACACAGTTCATGTTCACTGCTGTTACCTACGTAACATGGCTGCAATAGCTTCTAACTTTGAGGATTAAGACCTTTTGTAATATTCTCATAACCCCTACTGTATAATGCCCGTGAACCTTCCTTGCGATAATATGTCAAAAAACTCCTCACAAAAAACTCTTTATTGGGTGGCTGTTGTCACTCTCAGTCTCAACTACCATCCAAATTTCATCATCACAAAAAAAGACAGGTAGTGGAAGCAATTGGTCTGAAAAAACAAAATAAATAGCCATATACCGACCACATTTATCATTTAAACACTGATTCTCATACTCCACTCCTCCTTATCTATCTCTATATCTATGTGATGCCCACCTCAAACCTTACCATATCCTACCCTTTTGCCACTGCCCCATCACCCATGGACTGGTTCTCCTGGCTTTCAAGAACCTCTCTTGAGCCTTCCTTAATCTATGACTACGGCCTCACCTTTGCACGCAATGAGCTTCAATTGGAAGATGCTTGCTACTTCAACCACGAGTTTCTTCAGAGCATGGGCATCTCGATTGCCAAGCACAGACTAGAAATTCTGAAGCTTGTGAAGAGGGAAGGAAGAGGAGGAGGAGGTCGACCGAAGAAGCTCTCTGGGGTCATCAAGAAGTGCCTTAGGAAGTGCATGAACAAGTTTGTTTCTCGTGATGATGATGATGATGATCACGTAGTGAAAGGTGTGCCCTCCTTGATGCCTGTTTCAATGGCGCCACCAGAGATTAATTGGTACGAAGGGAAAGTGAGAGGGTCATCGGTTTTGAGGAAGCAACAAGAAGGAAACGAAGAAGCTAAGGAAGAGAAGGCTCTACCTGTGCCTCCCATGTACAGAAGCAGGACCATTGCACTTTCAGGACCGTTGGATGGTAGTAGAATCATGCATGACAAAATGGTCCACAACAGGGCCTTGAAGCTATCTGGACCACTTGATGGAAGAATGCATGAGAGAATGATGATGATCAACTCTAACAGAAGCCCTTTAATACCTAGGTCTCTGGATGCAAGATTTGTAGCCACAGCAAAGAGTCCAAGACTGTCAGGGCCTCTCGATCCAAGACTCATGCCTGCGGAGACCAAAAGCCCAAGACCTCCAAGGGCTTCAGATTCAACAAGGCTCGACATCGAAAGCCCAATGTCTTACAGTCCTTATAACAAGCCCAAAGCCGATTTTGACTATGACGATGATCACACACTCTGGCCTTCACTGTTTCAAGATCTGAAACCGACTTGATTTTGTCTTTTCCGTTCCATGGTGAGTGCCGATTACATTATCATTCTTTTTCTTTCATTGGTATCTCAGGATAGAAACTTAGCAACTACCTATTATCATATGAAATCTCATGTTTTGCCGCAACGCTTAAACGCCTTGTCCCTGCTTCTCCGACCACTTGTTAATACATTATCATTTTTTGTTATCCAAGGTCGTAATTTCATATTATAAGGTAACAGTCCCATATGTAGATGACCAACATTTTAGGTTTATTTATGTTATGGGCTTTGTCTTTGGGTAAATATATAAATAGGAAAACATTCACCGTCACCAACAAAATGTTGAGATCACGTAATGTTTCTCCGAAAGTAATTAATTTATTTGCTGATAGTATTCTCATTCAAAGGAATTAAAGCTAAAGTCCAAATATCACTTTCAGGCGGCACCAAACTAAAGCTAAACTAAAATGTTACGTTCAATAACAATTAACAGATATTGAGCTCATTCGTTGTATAATTATCATCACATACATTGAAATAAACGATTGTTCCAAACAGTATCTGATAGATTAATTAGCCTACAACCATGTGCATACAGATCACGTATCACACTTCCTTCACCTTTAACAATTCTCAGTGGTCAGGGTCATATCCCAACATTGAAGCCAACATCTCTTGCCTGATAGATTGTTTATCAGCATTGTTGAAAATGTAATGGCAGACCAGGAAAAAGCAGCTAGACAGGTTTGTCTGTAAAATAAAGTGTGGTGTGCTATATTTGTTATTGAACTTGAGTAGTTTTTAGTGGCCTGAAGTTTGAGGTAGCTTAAACGAACCCCCAGAATAAAGCATTTGGTAAACGGGCTTAATTCTTATAGTCAAGATAATGCTGGAGAGAGTACCCGCAACACACACACCAGCCAGAGTGAAAAAGGTTAGCTGAAAACAACTTGGACCAATACATGCAACACCTGAAGCAATGAGGCCTTCGCCATGTTGTTTTGCTGCCTCGTTATCATATACGTGTCCTGCTAGAAGAGCCGAGAAAAGTGATGCACCAAGTGGATTCCCCAGACCCATGAAGTTGCTCAACAAACCAAAGTGTTTCAACCCAAAAAGCTCTGAAACAGTGGGAATCACTATGGAAAATTGCACGCCATAGCAGATGCCAAGAACTGCAATTGCAGGATAAAGTGTTCCCTTGATAGCATATGCAAAGAGAAGGTACAAGAATATCATAATTATCTGCGTGCATGTCATCCAAATTGTCCTTGGAATCGTTTTTGTCCTGCAAATTGTCAAAACAATTATACTTTATTCATGCGTCGTCATTCATATTTAGATGGTAAAAAGACAGGTACATGTGTATAAAACAAATTACAAGTGTATTTAGTTTTATAGTAATTGTCTTAAAAGTATATTAAAACAGTTCACGAATGACTGATATAAAACTATAAAATTCTAAAACTAAACATCCACTTCAACTCAACACAATCACTACCTACTTTTACTTTCACAAATTAGAAAAGTCTACTTTAGCATCTAAAAATAAACATACACTTCAACACAATTGCTACCTACTCGTGGTGGGCAAAACAGCAAATAACAAGTGCTAGTCAAAAGTAGCACGGCACTAATTATCTGAAATGATTACAATGATCTCTTAACTGATATGGGCGAGAGTAAAATCTTAACTTAACCGAGAATAATTACTTACCTGACAAAATGTTCTGAAACAACTCCTCCACCTAGCCGACCCACAAAATTGAAAAAGCTGAATAATGACAGCAAAACAGTGGTATCTTCCATACCTTGTGCAATGCCAATCTGAGCCAAATTATTCAGAACGGTAACCCCTGTTCCAACCCCAACAAAGTAAACAAAAAACAGTAGCCAGAAATCTGCCTTAACGAGAGCCTCGGTAAACTTAAAATCTTCCCCTCTCTTGGGCCTTCTCTTCTTCCTCACTGCCCCCTCACCCTCAGCGAGAAGCATGGCCACCTCAGCTGAACCATCCACATCATTAAAACTTCCAAGGCCACTGGTTGATGAAGATGATAGCAAGGGTTCTGTGTTGTCCACCTTGCCATCTTGAACCAGAAAGTCGGAAGATCCAACATGTTGCTCTGGTGTTTCTGATGCAGATGCTTTTCTGGGGCACAGTGTCATCTTTATAGGGATTGCAAGGGGGGCCAAGAGAAGGAGAATCATCACAGCCAACATAACAAATGATACTGTATAATTCATGGGGACAAAGTTGTCGAGTATTGTTGTTGCAAGTAAGTATAAACCCAAGGCTACACTAGCAACTTGGATGAATAAAAAATGACTGTTTTCAGAAGAATCTTCACCGGAAGCCGGAGTGCAAGGCCGAACAAGAAACATTGTACTGAAGCATAAAGCAGGAATACCAATGGCAAGGAACAACAGGAAGTTGGGTGAAGAATTATGAAAACCCACGCTGTAAATTTCCGTAAAAACTGCAGCACTGAGCCCCGAATAACCTTTCAGGACTCCTGCAACTGTGCCTCTACTGACAGGGAAATTTCTCATGTTGGTGACAAGAATAGCAGTAGATAACCATGCACAGCTGTTGGTAGCTACAGCAAGTGCAAGCCATAGCTGCAGCACCAAAGATAAAAAGAGATGATTATAAACCAGGCCCTTTCAATATCATGCACAATATAACAAACAATTTTCCATCTAACAATTATTAGATGAACCAAACAACAATACAATGAAAGGAAAATTGTAGGTAGAGAAATATAAAAAAAAAAAACAAACATGGAATCTCAATTTCAAACAAGCTATAGAAAATGTTCGATACTGTGGCTATTCTCATATCAAAGTCCTTATCCTAAGTACTTCCTTTCATCTTTGTCTCAGATCATGTTTGTCTAAAGATATCAAATACCCAACAACCAATAAGGCAGTAAAACAGAACTGACTCTATGATCCCAGGAAAAAAAAAACATAAACTTGCTGATATAAAGCGAAAAAGATATGAAAATGATGAAGTTACCACAATGAAAGGAACGCAGTCAAATGTTTTAGAAATAGCGAGCCAGAGAACACCAAAACCAAGGAATGATAAGAGACCACCAATGAGAAGAATGAGCCAAGGGGGGAACTTGTTGCAGGCGAGACCAGGAAGAATGCCAAGGTTCTCACCAATATCATTGGCAACACCAAGCAGAGTAATCTGGCTCTGGTTGAAACCCAAAACGGATTTCAAGGAATGAGAGTAGAGAGGGAAAGTGTAGCCATTTCCTGAACAAATCTGAACCCACACGGCAGCTCCAAGTCCCACCCAAGGTGGCCTTTTCCCTCCCTTCACTCTCAACATTTCGCTAACTTCAGCTCAAGAACAGCACACAACAACACAAAACACCAAAGACCTTTCCTTCACAAAACGGAGAACCAAAAAGAAAGCATATGGTCAGAATAAATCAGTGTGAGAGTCAGAACGAGATAAATCTGTGCTGGTCACTGTTCTAGTGGTAAAAACGGGCCAAAAGATCACCACAAAGGTAAAAAATTAATATTTTATACTTTTGAGGAAGATCATGATTTAAATATTCCCTCAACACGTTCGTCTAGGATTGATATAGTGGTTGTTTCACGGTTCTGGTCAATTTTAGAAATGAAAATTTGCTTAAATTCCGTGAAGAGGACGTGTTTGTACTAATTAATTGGGTTGGGTACAAAAGTGTTTTAAACTTGGTTATGGTGTTGTTGGTGAAATGCAGCTTCCTTGGAAGCTCTTAGTTTGGTTTGTTTATTTTTTGGGCACTACCAACATGTCCCATGTGATGTGTAAAGTGCTTTTAGGATGCTTCGTATTCGTATAGGATGGGTGGTTCTTCGAGGTGGTGTGGATCAATCGCGTTTTCAGAGGTTGAGACACACATTTCTTCGTCGGCACCCTTCAGTTTCTTAAAGATGGGTCAGAATTGGCTTAAGCATGGAATTTTTTTCAAAAAG